TCGGAAGAGTTGCAGGCAACAAGGATCTCTACTTGGGAACTTTCAGTAAGCTAATATATTTAATCTTATGCACCGATAATCATTGGAGCAGATATGGCAGTCTCACTTACCTCATATTGTAACATGCTTAATTTTCTTTTAAATAATCAAAACATGTGTTCATCCAATTCAGTATATATGATTGTATATGTATGTCATAAACAAGCAAACAACAAAACGTTAAATAAACTATATCCGCATGTTTAGTTAAAATAAAATGAAAAGTTTGATAGGCAAAACAAAGATATATAAATAAACCTAAGTTCAAGACTAAAAGTTGTTCAAAGTGAAGAACAAATAGAACGTAAATAGTACAATATAAGATCCAACTACATGCGTAGTTACAAAGTAAATGTCAATGTTTGATAATTCAGAAGTAATTATTTTCAATGATATTCATCACTAATGAAACTAATGCTTCTATGCACTGCATGCATTTATTTATAACTAATTAATGAAAAACTGTTTACGCATTTTACTAATAATTAATTTTTCAGGCACTCAAGAGGAGGCAGCAGAGGCATATGATGTTGCAGCCATAAAATTCCGAGGACTGAGTGCAGTTACAAACTTTGATATGAGCAGATACGACGTTAAGAGCATTCTTGAGAGCACCACTTTGCCAATTGGTGGTGCTGCCAAGCGTTTGAAGGACATGGAGCAAGTGGAACTGGGTGTGGATGGCCATAGAGATCAAGAAGATCATAGCATTATGAACTCTCACATCACTCAAGGGATCAGTAACAACTATGGAGGAGCAACAACTTATCATAACTGGCACAATGCTCTTGCATTCCACCAACCTCAACCTTACACCACCATACATTACCCTTATGGACAGAGGCAATGGTGCAAGCAAGAACAACAAGACACTTCTGATGCCTCTCACCCTTTGTCTTATCCAGATGTTCATCAACTTCAGCTAGGGAATAACAGCACTCATAATTTCTTTCACTCAAATTCAGGGTTGCACCCTATGATGAGCATGGATTCTGCTTCCATTGACAATAGCTCTTCATCTAACTCGGTTGTTTATGATGGTTATGGAGGTGGTGGTGGTGGGGGATATGTGATTCCTATGGGAACTACTACTACTGTTGTTGCAAGTGATGGTGATCAAAGTCAAAGAAGCAATAATGGTTTTGGTGAGAATGAGATGAAGGCACTTGGTTATGAAAGTGTTTATGGTTCTAATGATGCTTATCATGCACATGCAAGGAACTTGTATTATCTTTCCCAACAGCAACCATCTTCTGTTGATGCTGTGAAGGCTAGTGCATATGATCAAGGTTCTTCATGCAACACTTGGGTTCCAACTGCTATTCCAACTCTTGCACCAAGGTCTACTAGCATGGCTCTTTGCCATGGTGCTCCACCCTTCTCTTTATTGCATGAATAGGTGGAAAATTAGGGAGAAGTAGAGTCACCAAGGTGTTCATGAAAAATTGAAAATGTTGCAGATATTGCTGACTATCTTTATCCTCTTATTAAGTTGCTAATTTGATAGTGTGCACTTTTGAAGATGAGGATATATAGGGTTTCTTTCACCATCTCTAACTTGCATAATCTTTATTAGGGTCTAAGTAATCTAGCCTCAAGTTTAGTCATGGCAGAACAATATATTTGCTGTGAATTTTGGGAATTAACTTCAAGAATATAATATGTGGACAGATCATTGGGAAGTTTTTTTTTTTTTTTTTTTTAACGGGTTTTGTAATTTTCGGAATAACAAAGATCATACAATAGATGGAGTTTTCCTCAATGTATATGTTTGCCGTTTATAATATTTCTTTAACTAGTTTCTTTCTGTGCATAATATGCATGGTTTAAGGTATTTGCTTTTCTGATTATTTATCTGCGATCACATAGTATTTTTTATGCGTACAGACAAATACTATACGGAGGATTCGGTTTTCAATGCTTGAATTGATGATACAATTAGGTTTCAGTTGTTAAATGAGTAACGATCAAAAGTGGAATATTTTGTACCTTAATTACTTACTAGCTAGGTATCAAGAACCGAAAGATTAATTTCTTAAATTTTAGCTTAAATATGTGTTCGATGACACTACAAAGATCTCAAATCTATAAATCGAATTGTGTTGAGTTGTGTAAGTTATTGTTTCATTATTCAAAATGAAAGGTCTGTCAAAAAAATCATGCAATTAGAATAAATCGATGATAACAGAATATTTTATACGTACACTTTATCGATCACTGGAAATTCATTTGAAGGTAATTTGTCTGCCAATATATAACTAGCTAATAATGCAATAGCAGCAATACTATTATTATATTATCATTTCTACTTTTTATTCCAGTAAGTGTAAATATAGTATGATATTTTTATGTATAATATCGGTAACGTTTACTCAAACAAATTTATCAAATCATTCATGAAGTGACAAATAACATTGACAGCTGAGATAAATGCCAAAGTTATGCATGTTGAATAGTGTTTTTACTTGTTTGTTTTTTACCTGATGTTTTACATCGCATGCATGTTCCATATACAGTTGAACCTTTTTAAAATAATGATATGATATGATTACTAGATAGTTAAATAATGACGTGATATTTTCCATTTACAACATATTAAAGTTGAACTTAACAGGTATGTATGATAAAATGTTTTATCTGATACATATATGGTTCATCGAAATAAACCGTAGAAAGAAATTAATGGCATGCTCCAAAAACAATGTTTCAATTATGCTACATTTAGCTAGCTAGGGCTGTTTGGTGGTGATCAATATCTTGTGTCTACTGATTCATTCAACGGGAAAACAACAAAGTGAATCTATTCTTTATTTTATGGAATTAATTTCCCCTTTTCACTCTGTTGTTTGTTTGTGATGAATATAAGAAATGAAGAAAAGCAATTAAGGGGTGTAAACCGATATTCATAGGAGAAATCAGCGGAGTACCCGTGCCTCCTCGGAAAGAAAACCAAATATTAATTTATTTATTTTATGATCTCTTCTCTCTGAGCATCTGCGATGCTTGGTTGCAGGATTGTTTTCACCCTTATCCATGCACAAAGAGATTTCCAAGAAAAGTGAACTTTGTTAAAGTCAGTCTTGTACCATGTAGTGGGTCTCAATCCTTTCCCTTACTTTTTCTTCCCATGCTTTATCTCTCCATTTATTACACCAACTTTTCATCCATTACAAATACTACTATTTATAATTAACATATGATGAAAATATGGCAGGTGTTAAATATTATGTTTTCATCTATTTAAAGTTTAATCCATCTTATTTTATTTAATAAAAAAGTTAAACTTTAATTTTTAAAAAATGTATTTATTTAAAAAATTAGATTTAGGTTTATAATTAAATTTGATAGAGTAATTTATTTATCTGTAATATATATATATTATTACTTAAATATATTTCTAATCTTTTATGATAAATTTATTTTTAGTTTTTTAAATTTTAAATTAATTTTTTTAGTCTTTAAAATTTTAAAAGATTTTGTTTCAATTTTTATACTTTAATTTTGTTAAAAATTTGTTAAATATTATTACATAAAATTTATCTATTGATATTTTTTATAATAAAAATATCATACTAAATATCGTTAATATTACATAATTATCTTAATTTATTATTTTTAAATATGTTATTAGTGATTTAAAAGATTAAAATAATATTTTTAAAATAAAAATTCTAGCAGTTTAAAATATTCACTTACTCTTCTCCTTCATATTGATAATTGGTTATTAGAATACTTCAAATTACTTATAAGAAATAATTATAAAGCTTTTTTTATTGGGATAAAAGTATAAAACTGTTTTTTTCATTACGGTCTATACACAAGTGTATTTTAATCTACATGATTATGTATGAGAGTTGTCCCTTTTAAGTTAGTTTTTATTTTTATTTTAAATTTTAAATTATAGTGATAATAATACTAGAGTAAACTCATTATTTATAATGCAAATAAAAAAAATGACTCACGTGTGTATTTAAAAATATTACTATTTACTTATTTAAAATTAAATATATTAGCACATTTAACATTGTTAATACAAAATAAGCTTTTAAATAGGATAATAGATAAGATCAAACTTTTAAAAAAGTCAAGCCAAAACTATAAAAAAAAAAATTATAATAATATGTTAGACTTAGACTTTAAATTTTTTTAAATAAGTCTAACTTATATATTCAAAATATGATTTAACTTGGTCTATTATCATCTCTATGTATAAGTAATACTACTAATGTTCAAGAAGATACATTTTATATTTTTATCAATCATATTATATTTATTTATAAAATAAATAACAAGTCGTTAAGTTGAGTTAAATTGGACATGATCACCTTAAATAGTATCTTTAACTTCAAATATTATAAATGAAAAAAATGTGATTAAAAAAAACTATTATTTACGAACACGTTAAAAAAAAGTCCTAATTGTAATTTGTTTTTGGGATATATATTTTTATGAGAGAAACATTATTTTTTGTTGTTTGGAAAATATTCACATACATTTTCATGTTGATATGATATTATTTATTTTATGACTAAGTCCTTATTAATATGCTTTTGATCATTACCAAAAAAGTCTTAAACTAATGAAATATGTGTGTATTTTACAAATTCATATTTTTTGCTTGTTCTAATAATATGAGATTTTATTTGCATTCCAACAATCGTTCTTTCAAACAAATGATCTAACCTCCCAATTAATGAAATCTATCTTGCATTGTATTTTTGTTGTTTACACTACAAAAAATTGTCATATAGTAATACTTATCTTATAGTAACACAATACTTGTCATTATCTTTCCTTACACTATAAATAAAACATATGTTGATATAAATGTCGAATCTCATTCAAAATCAATTAACACTAAATTTGTGTGTAATTATATATCAAATAGATTTATACCTACATATATTATATCTATAATGTCATTTTATGTCATTATATATAACATTTCTTGTAGTGTTGTTTGTATGAGCTGTGAAAATATATTTTTTTACTGAATCATCAGCTCTAGTACTATTGATTGCCATGTTTTTCCTCTTATTCTAATAATGTTAGACTTTTTTATATCCTAACATCTGTTGCATCTAAATTTGTATCTAATTAATTCTTACCTAAAAATGACAATCAGTCCAAGGAGGTTACATTAAAAAATTTCAAATATAAAATTTGAGGGTTTACTTAGTTTGAAATTTTCATATCACTCATGATGAGGTTAGAGTGTATTAACACAATTTAGAAACTCTAAATCTCTATCAAGCCATGATATCACCTACACTACTACATTTTAATTTTTTAGCAACGTTTTCCTATTCATGCTTATTAAAATGTTACTATATGTGTTGAAAGAAGAGGTTATTTTGCAATATTTTTTTGAAAAATCTTATTATAGATAGAGTAAATTTTTTTTATTTCAATATTATTCTTTTTATTTATTTTTAAAATCAAACTCTCATATCGAGTAAAAAAATGTCATATAAGTTATTTTGTAACATTTTTTTTGAAAAATGTTACTATGGATAAGTAACTTTTTTTTTTATCTCAATATTATTTTTTCTAATTGTTTCTAAAATCAAAGTCTCACATCAAGTAAAAAAAATATCACATAAAGAGTAAATGAATAATTCATAAAGAGTATATATAATCATATAATTATATTTAAAATAAATAAACTTTGATATTTAATATCTAATTAGTGATGATTAATTAAGCTTATCTTCAACTTTTTCTTAAAGAATTTGTAGTAGTTTAGGAGTCATAAAATATAATAATTGATAGCAACATCTATATTAAAACTAATTATTATTTTGTAATGTTAAAAAAACTTAACAGTATCATTAAAATATTACAAAAATATTACTTTGATAACATTTGAAAAATATTACCTAATTGAGTACAAATGTTATTAAATATTTTTAACAATATAGACAATATTATATAATATTTGATAATATGTTATAAAAATAAATTAATAATATTTATATATAATTAAATAACATTTTTTAAATAGTACTAATAAAGAGTGATGTTCAACACTTAGATCAGATCATTCTATCGTCCGACATCTACTCATAAGTTATTTTTCTTCTACCAAAATTGATCATATATAAAACTAGTGAATATTTTCTCCCAATTATAGAAACATGCTTAAAAAAATGTTGATACAAAATATTATTCGTATGCATTAATTAAAACCCATGCTGTTATTCTATGTAAAGTTTTGCAATGTATACATGATTGATAGTCACTAAGTGGGCCTAACAAGTTTTATCACCTGCTGACTCAATCCTTAGGTTTTGATGACCCCACTACCTTTAGTGGGGAAATGATGGGAACCACGAAATTAGGGGCCCGGAGGTTCCTATTTAACCTCTGAAGAACTTCCAAGCCACTATTATTTTAAGCTGTTTTCATACTTTTTGGGTATGGGATGATTTGTTGGACTTGAAACAATATGTAGTTAGTGATATCTTTAGCTTGAACTTTTGTCTTTTACTAAAAAGTAACTAAAATAATGTTAGTAACCCACCCCCCTCTCATGGCATATTTATTGATATACTTTTATTATTTGATAAATTATAGACGAGAAATGATGTAATTGAGAAATGTTTGTAATACATACGTTTTTTTTATATATTAATCATTGTTGAATGAATTATATATACAGTGATCCAATTAAATAAGAAAAG